GCAGGTCGGGGTGGTACCAGCTACAAAGCCACCCTCTGGGGCGTGTGGACAGACAGAGGGACAGATGTGGTCTGAGTCCAGATTACAGTGGGGTGCATAGCTTTTCATCTTCAGAATTCAAGACACATAAAAGGGGAGACAGTTGCATGAACTGATTCCTCTGAAAGAATTTCAAAGTTTTTTAAAGTTAAAAAACATCAGAAAAGCTGCATCATTGGAAAATAGCCCTCAGAATAGTTCTGGTATGAATTCACTTCGGAATAAAGCTGTATTTATAAACAGAATCTCCATGTCTCAAACATTTAAAGGCCCCTGCCTTCATGACGAATGTCTGATTCTTTTAGGAGTTTTTGAAAACAATCTTTTGGGGCTCCCCATCCAGCCAGGATCCTACCTGTCCCAGTGAATGGTGGGAATAGCTGGGAGGAAGCCCTGGCTGTTCCTAGCTGGACACAGGCCGGCTTCCCTCCAAGGGACGCTGCTGCCCTGATGGAGGAAAATCTGGCTTCAGGGTCAGACCCGGGACGCGTCACCTCTATGAGGGATCACTTGGGGGTCACAAGACTCGTCTCCACTCCCCGGGGCATGCCACGTGCTTCTGAGCTGTCAGGGCCCTGCTGTGTCACAGCTGGCTCATCAGCTCCTGTCATGAATGAAACGGGCATTGCTGTGGTCACGTTGTGGAACAGGCTGGCAGATTCCACAGCCCAGGTCTGACATCACACCCAGAGGCCTGGGGCAAGCTGGCTGGCCTGGAGGGGCTGGTGTGGCTCACCCAATAAATGCTGGGGCCTGGCTGGAGGAGGGGCTCCAGTTTTCCCAGCATCCGTGAAAGCAGGCAGGGCTGGAGGGCAGTGACCCCAGAGTGGATTCTCCAGGTCATTCTGATTCCTACTCTCCAGTACCAAGAGCCAATTTTCATAAGTACCAGATAATCCTGATGTCCAGAGCTTTGTGAGTCACTGCTGGGCCTTGAATGGCCATGCAGGAGCTGGGCTCACACCTTGGGATGAAGGCTTTGGGCTTTAGATCCCTCTGTGGCCAGCTGGAACCAGCCTCGAATTATTAACAAGGACCATGCCCATGGGCTGCCACGTACAGAGAGTGACCAGAGGCCAGTGTAGTGACCAGTGCACATCCCAGTGACAGGCTCAAGGGCTCTGCACAGGCTGCCCCTAGGAGGAGGCCCAAGGCCTGGGGACCTCATGAAATGCCACCCACCCGCTGCACTCAAAGCTGGGCACTCTGTCTGCAGCTGCTGTCCCCTCACCAGTCACCTCTCCATGTCCCTGACGATCCCACCCCCGCCTCCCATCCCATCCTGCGAAACACCAGGCCTCAGCCCAGCAGCCCCCGGCCCTTCTGTGCTTCTGAGTTTCTTTACAAACTAAACCATGTGGTCCTAGTGTGCCACAGGGAATGTGACACGCCATAATCACATGTGACATGGGTTCATGTGTACGGTGTCCTGCTCTAGCTCAGCATCAGGGATCAGGCTCCCAAATCAAGGCGTACAAAGTCAAAGAAGACTGGGGCCAGGTGCTCACGGCCACTTGGAAGCAGACGGCTCACTCTGTGTGGCCTGAGCCCAGGTACCCGGGTGACCCGGAAGGAAATGAGCCAGAGCTCCGAGTGCCCACTGGCCAGCGTGATCACATCCCAAGAGACACCACCTCCAAGGCTGTAGCCCAAAAAGTCCTGAAAACCTGAATTCCATTGAGAAAAAAACCACAAACTTGCACCTGGGATGGCCATTCAGGGATTAGGGCCCAACCACTGCCTCGGGCTCCCCAGTGATAAGCCCACCAGGGCTCTCCAACACGGGCTCCAGCTCCAGAGCAGTGGGCTGGCCCTGTGGGCTGCAGGCTGGGGCTGCTCAATGTGCACCAACAGTGGCCTGCTCTGCCTTGGGTTCCAAGTTGGTTTTTGCACCCCCACAGTGCTGTGTTCAAACCCTCCTAGGCCCAGAGCGAGGCTATACGTGCCTGCGACAGGATCCCCATGTTATTCTGCTTAAGACAAATTATTTAACTAACCAAATGGTCATTTCTACCTAGGAGAAAAGTCCCTGGGTTGCTCCATAACGGATGCCTTCAATGTTAACGATTGTCTCCTCGGTGTGGGTGCGATGTCCTGGTCCGGAAGGGAGAGCGGTTCCCAGGCTGTGACCAGGAGGCGCCTTCCACCAAGTGTGTGGTCAGCGCCGAGTGAAGGGCTTGTGGGGAGCGCGGAGAAAGCCCAGCGGCCTTTTCTGTGGAGAGCAGTGCCCGATACCGATCAATTTCCATCATTTCATTCACTATCCAGTAGGGTACTTACTGCATAATTTTGGGGGGCAGCAGTGAACTCAAGGCCTCACACTTCTGCCACTGAGTTACATTCTGGCCCTATTTTACTGCTTTTAAAGCTGAAGCCTTAGAGTGTAATTACAGTCGTGGGGATGAGTCTTTTAATCAGTGATCTTTGGACTCAAATACAAACCTCAGCCTCCATGAGCAGGAAATGACTTCAGGGGCAGCAAACCCGGCTCCCCAGGACTAGCTCTGGCTGATCCTTTGTGGGGCTGCTCCCTCCCCCTGGGGCTCAGTTCCTCTTCTTTACCCCCATTTTGCCTGGACACTGCTCTGTCTGCACTGCACAGATACATTTTGTTGAAACTGGAAACTGTGTGTTACTTAAAAAGTTGATTTGTGGGAATCAGGCTCACGGTGCACTGGGAAGGAGCCCCTAAAGGTCACAGCATGCAACCGGGTACGCTTGGAATCTGTCTTTCTCCGCTCCACTCAATCAGAAATAAACTTCAGTACATGTTTAAGTAGAAATACAAATACACATTTGTCAGCTTTCTGGTTGCTGGTACCCAATACCTGACACTCACATCTTAAAGGAGGAAAGGTTCGATTGATTCGCAGTTTCAAGGGGTTGAGTCCATGGTGGGTGGCCCTCAGGCCTGAGCACTGTGGTGGAAAGGGGGGGGCAAAGCAAAGATGCTTCGTTCACGCTGGCTGGAAAGCCGGGCTGGGGAACCATGCAGAGAGGGGGTGAGGACCAGAGGTCAACCCCAAGGCCACACCTCCATGTGGCACCCAGACACCCCAGGAATCTGCTCCACCTCTCCCCAGGAGGGTCCCAAAGCCAAACAAACTCTGCCCTCACCCAGACACTCACTATAGCCAAGACTGGACTCACAGGGTCTCTTCAGAAGGGTATCGGTGGCGATCAGAACTGCACCTTTGTACTGGGCTCTGTATCTGGGCAGTAAGATGTTCTGGCCATTCCAAAGGCAGGGGTCCAATTACAGCAGCTTCTACTTCGCCAGGGAGATGCCACAGCCTGCAGCCCTGCCAGGAATGAGCTTAGGAATGGAGGCCACCGTGCCATGCATCAACCAGGTCTCGGGTTTGTTTAAAAATATCCTTTTTATAGCAAAACGGGTGTCAAGCAATGTAATTTAAACACCAGCTCCACAAAACAGAGCCATTACATCGCTCGGGAGGTGTGCACTTGGGAATCCTTCCTGTGGGATCCAGAAACTATGTGGAGTGTCCCGAAGGCGTCACTCACCAAGATCCCGAGACTCGGAGCCAGCCGGTGCCCCCACTTTTCAATTCATCAGAACCCCCTCTGTCTCCACCTGGCAGCTGCGGGTGGAAGAAACCCTGATTCGGTTAGACCAGCGGTCTGTCTAGGTGCCTGCGGCTCTGCTTTCTTACTGAAGACAGAACCTGGCTCCAGGTTTGCAAAGAAAGAAACAGCTGCCCTCTGCTGGGCACTGCGGGCAGGGCTCCCTCAGCGCCGGACGGAGGTGACGGCTGTGCTCCAACCGGGTCACCTCTGGTCCAGGCGTCTGCGGGGACCCTGGGCCCAGGACAGAGCCCACATCGACCCCTTGTCCCATTTACTCTCATTCTGTTCCGAATGTAAAATACACAACTTCCTGTCAAAATCTGTTCCTAAGGTTTTTACCCCAACACTGAGGATTGAGCCCAATACTTTTCAAAGATTTTCCTGAATTTTATGTATGGCTCTGTGGCAGGTTCACGCGCACGTGTGATCATTTCCTGCCTTTCATGCCCCTCCCCACCGCCCCGACACATTTTCTTTGGTTTCCATGTATGTGACGGGTTTTGATGAGACCCCGCCCTCCCTCTTCCGCTTTCCCATCAGTCAGCACGTGGTGAGGACAGACACGTGACACTTGGATTCGGGCTGATTTTGCTCAACATGATTATCTCCAGTTCCAGCCTATTTTTTTGTGTAAATGAAAAAAATTTTGTTCTTTTTATGGCTAATACTCCGTTGTGTAAATATACAATATTTTCTTTACCCATTCACCTGTGATGGTTCCGTACCTTGCCCAACTTTTTTTTTATTTGAGACAGAATCTCACCAAGTTGCTATATTGCTCAGGCTGGGCTCAAGCTTGGGATCTTCCTGCCTCAGCCTCCCAGAGTGCTGGGATTACAGGATTGTGCTGCCATGTCCCGTTCTAGAAGGAATATTTATTGGTGCCTGGATATCTGTGGAACTTACATTTTACAAACGTGTTTCTCATAGTATCTGGCTTTAAGTTTTTAGCCATTTCTAAGCGGATGGCTCAGTGGTATAGGCGAGATCACATCTTCCTCACTCTGCTGGCTACTAAAACACACTGCCTGACCCTCGGAGCTTCAGGGAGGAGCGGTCTGTCCTGGCTCAGCCCACAGTCAGCACGCTCCAGGACAGAAGGACCATCACCCACCCACCCACCTCTCAAGCCTTTTTCATCTTTTTTTTTTTTTTTTGGTACCGGGAATTGAACTCAGGACCTTGCACTTGCCAGGAAGGCGTTTATGCCACTGACCTAAATCCACAGCCCCAAGAAGACACTTGTAAAGACTGTCCTTCACACAGCACAAAAGTAGCAATTTCATTTTATTGAGTTATGTAAAACATCTATAAACAACAGTCAAAAAAGAAAAAGAAACTATTGCAAAAATTCAGACAGTATGTCAGTTATCACACACCAGGTGCAGCAGGTAAGTCTTACGATTCAAAGTAAATTAATGTGGGCACAAAGGGAACACACAGGGCCCCCCGTGCGTGCCGGGTAATCACTTCTGCGCCTTCACACTGCACAGGGTCCCTGACCTGGGGTATCTGCAGTAACAGACCCACACCCGAAGAATCGCAATGATTCTGAATGAGTTTGAACTCTGAGGGAAGGGCAGAAGGGTGCCAGCCAACACAGGAGCCCGGCTGTGCGGGGAGCTGGGTCCTGCCGACCTCGGTGCCAAGGATCTGGGCTGAGCCTGCGCTCCCCGGGGGCAGACAGATGGGCGGGGTGAGAAGAGAAACCTCCGGGGATTTCTGGGGGTCGCAAAGAGTGCAGGCTCCTCCAGGGGCCCACTTACACGCCCGGATTCTCATGTTTCTTTCCACTTTGTACTCATCTTAAAAACATAAAAAGGGGCAGTTTTAGCAAAACGAGACGGTTACAAATTGGATGGTAGCCACGGAATGGAGGGGGCAATGTCCCCTCCTGCCGAAGGCACGGTTCAGGTTGAGCCTTGCTCTCACCTCTCCATAAAAACAGAAAACTCATTACTTTGTAGTCTAATTTTTCACTTTTTACTCTGCTTTTAAAATGACACTAAAATCATTTGAATTTAGAACTAATTAAAAGCATTATGGGAGCTTTATACTGAATGGAAAATTCATTTGTAGGAAAAAGGGTATAAAATTAATTTCTTAATGTATAAAAACCATATTAGAAACCTCTTGGCCCAAATGGGCAAACAAGCTACACACTACGGAACACTCTGGGAAAACCATGTCTCACTGTCAGGAACGGTTTCAAAGCTGCTCGGGGGTGACCTGTTTCAAGGGCCCGGCTGTGAGAGCGAACCCGTCACTGCACCATCATATCGAAGATCATCTCGCACGTCAGGTCTTCCTCCAGGGCCACGCTTCCGCCTGCCGCTTCCCCGCCGTCATCGGGGGCCGCCTCGCCCACAATCTGTGTCTCCTCCAAGGGGGCTTTCGGGGAAGAAGACAAACGGGAGCAAATTTAGAAGAAAGTCATGAAAACAGAACTGAGGAACTTTGACTATATTTTGGAAACAGCTGTTTAAATTTCAAGGGATCAGCGAGCAGTCAGTCAGTGATGCGCTGTAGGCCAGCGGGTGTCAGCTCTGTGCGGGGGACCGCGGGGCTGGGGTCCCTGCCGGGGTGCATCATGGGCACCGCAGGACGAGGGCAGCTCCCCTGGCCACCAGAGGCCAGAAGCAGCCTCCTCTTGCGCTGTGACAACCAAATCTGCCCCTCAGCCGCCCGCATGTGACAGGGGCTCAGAGTCACCAAGCACTGCCTGAGGGGGACGCAAGTCCGTGTCGTGGCCCTGCTGCTCCTCCTGCCTGGTTTCAGCGCCCACAGAGCGCGACGCTGAGATGGAAAGAGCTGGGCGCTCCCGACACCGTCCCTTCTGCTGGCACACACTGACCTGGCCGCCACCGGCTCCCCGGCCAGCAGCAGCCGACCCACTACACATTTTCAAACTGCTTCCTGGGGACGCTGCACCGTCACCCTCGGGAATCCCGTCACCCGGGGAGCGCAGAGCAGCCGGGCGGCTTCTGCCGCCTTCTGAAGCTCACAAACAAAGGGGCTGACCCTTCCCTTCTGTTCCTTTTGTCTTTCTGAGACAGGGTCGGGCTGACTGCAGGAAGAGGGAGCTGCGGTGGGAGGCGGGCTGAAGTGTAGGAAGGGAAGGGGCCGCTGCCTTGGCCAGGGGAGGATGGCGGACACCTGCGGCAGGGAGAGGGCAGCGGACACAGGGACGGGGAGCTCAGGGACCGCAGGCAGGTGGGCAGGGAGGAGGTGGGTCGGCAGGAGGACACGGGTCGAGGTGGTCCAGGGTGAATCAAGGCCGGAGCAACGGCCAGTGCAGTGCTTATCTTTGTTTAGACTCTGAGTGTGACTGAGCCGACGGGAAAGTGCAGGTGGAGGGGACACACTGGGCACATGAACCAGGGGAAGACGCCATTAGCAGGGAGGGGCTCCGGGGCTGGCAGCTCTCCAGGGTGCCCCTGCCACTGGCCGTTCAAGGGCCCTGTGGTTCTCTAGACAAGTGACAGTGAGGCTGGACTGGGGATCCTGGCAAGGATGGGGGACGACAGTGGGCTCCCACCTGCTGGGGAAGAGGTCCCTAGGTCCCCAGTGCCTCTGGAGGGAGGCAAGAGCTGTAAGTCTGCTGGGGAATGCTTGCTGGACATCAAAGGCCAAAGCCATGCCATCCTGCAGGACTGGGGTGCTGGGGACCTCTGTCCCCCTACCCTTTGTTTCTGTCCTTTTAACATGGTTGGGGGCCACTGTATGGGGCTGTGGTCGGCACAGAGGAGGGTGCACAGGAGCCCTCAGGGGACATGAAGAGAGGGTGCCCTGGAGACTGCAAGTGGGGTCCATCCTGGGAAGTGCCCACGGAGCTGAGGAGGGGCCCTGACTGGAGACCCCGTGGCCCTTCCAAGGTTCCCCTGCCAGGTGGGTCCTGTGTGGCTCAGAACCCATCGTGCATGTGACGGTGGGTGCCAAGACATCCCTGGCTTGTGTCCAGTCTCGGACAAACGATGGGTGATTGTCCAGTGTATCCCGGCCAGCGTGGTCAGCACGGAGGCCCAGCTCCTTGTCTATTTGCCATTCTAGTGTTCAGGGCACCCACCTCCAGCTACGCTGGCCTGTCCGGGGGAAGGAAAGGGTGACAGCCATCCTGGGAATAACTGCAGATAGGGATGTTTCTGCTGTAAGCTGGTCTGGTTCCCGGGCATTCCCCCAAAGGAAAAGCCACGGGTGCTGGCCCTGGGCCGCACGGGAGAGCCACTCCTGGGGACACACACCTGGCCAGTCTTGACCCATCTCAGCTTGCTCCCCTGAGGACTTACACTGGCCGAGGCCAGAGCATAAAGACTGATGCCTGTGGTGGGCTGGAGGGGTACAACCACACCCCGGCGCCTGGACCTGTGACCGTGCCCTTGCTGGGATAAAGGGTCTCTGCAGACAGACCAGGGGCAGGTCTTGGGTGAGACCATGGTAGGTTTCCCAGAGTGGCCCTACATCCAAAGATCAGTGTCATCCTGGAAGGAGTCACAGACACAGATGGGAGGAGAAGCCACGCGGGATGGAGGCAGAGATCAGAGTGACAAGGCCACAGCCAGGGGGCCAGCAATGGCCCCACTGACCCTCGGTGGAGCAGCTGGGAGGAGCAGACCCTGCCGTTCTAAGCAGGCACTGTGCGTCCGTGTGCAGGCAATAGCCTGACCTGACTCGGCAGAGGCCGGAGCAGGGGAGCCATGCAGGTGCCTCTGTCCCCCAGCCAGGTGAGCGTGGCTCACGGGGACCCAGGGGCTGCACCCTGACTTCCTCTTCCTCCCCCGCTGAGATCCCCCAGGAGCTACGCTGCCCTCTGGGCATCAAGCGGCCGGAAGCAGCCAGGAGCTGCCGGCCATGTGGTCTCCCAGGTGTGGCTCGCAGGTCCCTCACACCGCTGGGCACACACAGGGTTTGTGGCTGTGTCACCCACACTGACCTCGGTGCCCTGGAAAATTTACAGCAAGAAAATCCCTGTCAAACAAATCGGTTTAAGACGGGGTACCCTCATCCTGTCCGGCTCCTCGGGGGGCTCTCTGCTTCCCCTTTCTCGTGCGCTTTCCTCTTCCTGAGGCAGCTGAGGTCCCACGTGCCGAGCCACACTTCTCCGCATGTCTGTGCATGCTGCTCTGTGGGGAGAGGACACACGACACACGGTGAGTGACGCTGTCTGGGACTCGGGGTGACAGATGGGCGTCAAGAGAGCAGCGGGGGACAACCGTCTGCCAGGGCCTTGCACAGAAAGGGAGCGTGTTCCAGGTGACCGTCCCCTCACAGTGAGGCTGAGCCCGAAGCCAGCTTGTTTTATCTTGAATAACAGAAACCACTGAGAATGTGACATGGATTTTTCTAGAATGCTCCCTTCTCTAGCGTGAAAACTGATGTGAAACCAGAACCTTGGGGTATTGGTCACCACGACTGCTCTGACGCACACGGATTAGAGTGTCTCTCGAGCCCTCCTCCTGAGCTTCCGACCCCATGCACAGGTGACCATGACACTCAGGATTAGGACACCACAGGTCTCCTGGTCAGGCGTGGGAGTGACACTTTCTTATTAATGAAAACTGATGACAACTTAAAACCTGCTAGAATATTTTTACCGTTTGTAAAGTTCACATACAAAAGCTGTGGTGTCTATCACACCCAGCACCCCACTGAACCCCACCCTGACTTAGCCCAGTGCTCTGTAGCGCTGTGCTGGTTTAGGGGTGAAGAGCTGTGCTGGCGGGGGGTCAGGGACTCACTGGTCACTTAAACTCCCATCGCAGCTATGGAATTGGCCAACAATGGCCAGAGGGGCCCACCGGCTTTCCTGTCTCCTGTGTGGCCTGTGGGTTGGTCCAGAGCTGCTCCGGTGGACCAGGGCAGGAGGCAGGCGTGGCTGGAGCTGTGCGTTCTAAGCCGCTGACAGTGTTGACTCTCGGGCCCTTTAGGAAGCGTCTGCCACCCTCTGGTCTGCATGGCCACTGTGTCAGGTGCCTGCATTGCAGCCCGCCTGTGTCAGTGGACAGACACCTGGATAGTCTGCTTTCTAAAAACCAGGTTGGCTTCAAGCAGATAGCCTGAGCTTTCTTTTATCTTTCCACAGCTGTGCGCAGATAGAATTCACATCCTTTGTAATCCATCCATTCACAATGTCTGGATTTCAGTCCACTCACAGAACTGGGCAGGCACAAAGGATCCTGGAACACTTCACTCTCTGCACGGATCTCTGTACCTCCAGTAGCCAAGCTCCACCCCGGCAGCCCCTGCTAATTTCTGTCACGTGAACTTGCCTGTCCTGGACATGTCACTAAATGGATCGCATGACATGTGGCTTTCTGGGCCCTTTTCACGGCTGGGTAATATTCTGCCGAGAGGACAGGTTGTGTGCCACCGAGCTGTGCACTAAACTAATGCTATGCTGTGCTGGTGGGTGTTCAGTCTGGGGGACCTATGTTAGGTGTGACACTGCGGTGTCCCCCGTGAGTCCCAGGTTAACCTTTCCGAAGGCTGCCACTGCACAGATGTTAACCTACTCCACAGCACCCGAGGGTCTGTGCCCACCTTCACCCTCCGAGCACTGCTGCTCTCCATGGCTCAGACGTGCGCTTCCCCGGTGGCCACGGAGGGCGGGTCACCCTCTCAGGTACTGATCGGTTTCTCTGGCTTCTTGGATGCAGATATTTTTAGTTTTTAACTGGAGAGCTGTCTTACTGTTCTTGAGCTGTGAGAGTCTTCGCACATTCCAGATGTGGGTCCAGATGTGCTTATCACAGACCGAAATCAACAGGCGGTCAGACAGGGCCAGGCCCTCAGGGGGTCAGCGCCAGAGATGCGGCTGGAGGCTCCCGTGAAGAGACAAGGCCTCGAGAATCAACTCACCAGGGTCAGCTGTGCTCCTCCGAGGGGCATTTGAGCCTGCGTTGGAATTGGTACCATCCAGTCCGTGACATCAGGTGGACATTGTCACCCGGATGACCCAGCCCTTCCCCAAAGCCGCTGTTCTTTCCGTACACCCCTGCTGCTCGACCCGCTTCCCACCGGGTCAGGACTAGCTGGCGACACTTGTAATCCTGCTGGTTGATTCTAGTTTGACCGGCGGTTGGCCCTCCCTCCTGATTTTTACCCACCCTGTGATTCTGTTCCACGAAACGTTCTTACAAAGGTGACTGGGTGGCACCCCACCCTGGGGTCCCCTCCTATCTCACAAGCTCCCTCTCTCAGTAAACCTTTCCTGCTCTTCTGCTCCTTAGAATTCATTCTTCCATTTTGGGGCACACAAGCTCGGGGCTTCCGACGCCCAGCAGACGGGGAGTGAAGTGTCTCCCATACCATGCTGTCCTGAACCGAGGAAGAGGTTTCAAGAGCATTCTGAGGGCCAGTGCGATGCTGACACAGTCTTTGCTCTCCTGCGTCTTGCACCAAAGGACAGTTTAATCCCACTGGTAGGGGACACTAGCTCGACATGGTGCCTCCGTACCACTGTCGCCACTTTTGTTTGAAATCTTATGCAAAGAGAATTAATATTCCAGAGCTCTCCCACTACACTCCCCAGAAAAGCACAACTGCCCTGACGTTTTCTTTTAAGAAAAAAGATGAAATTTCCCCCCATAAAAACAGTTGGTTCCAGATAGTTAAAAAGTTCGTAAAATTGGGCTGGGGCATCCAGTGTCCAGCGTGGTTTTAAAATGTCCATAACACGCCACCCTCCAAAGGACATCACTCTCCGTCTTGAGCATGCGCAGGCTTTGGGGTTCATTAAAAGCAGTGGAGGTTAATGTTGTGCCACTTTTAAGACTTGCTGGCAGACACATGATGGCTTCCTCCTGTCCCCTGCTCTGGGCCTCGGGGACAGGTGGGCAGCCCTGTGCCGAGGGCCGATGGCAGCTTGATGCCTGCCTGAAACCTTGGGACGTCACTTAACCATCCAGGCAAGTCTGACCCCAGCCCAGACCTGGGGAAACTGCAGGAGGACAAATGGCTGTGGTCCGAAGCTGCGGAATTTTAAGATTTTTTAAATTTTTGGTCCTGGGAATCAAACACTCACAACCTTGCACTTGCCAGGCAGGTGCTTACACCACTGAGCTAAACCCCTGGCCCCAAGCTGCTGAATTTTGAGGCAATTTGTTATTGCCTCATTATGGCCTAGGATGACCGCCCTCCCCACCACAAAGGATCCTGGGTGCCGAGGCTGGGCTTTGGGAGGATGACGTGTAGGTCACGGTGCATTGTACTCATCCGTGGAGGCTTGCTGTGGCTGAAACTTGGCCTGGAGGGGGCTTGATCGGACAAGGTAACTGGGGGTCACTGGGGTGGGACCCCACAGGGTGCATCTCCCTCCCGGCTCCTCCAGTCTCTCTCTGTTTCCTGGCTGCCAGGGGGGAGCTGCTGTCCTCTGCCCTGACCCCTCCCCCAGGCCAGGTCCACTGAGCAGCTGGCCAATCACGGACTGGACTCCCCGAGTGAGTCCAAAGAAGCCTCCTTACATTGTGGAGGTCAGGACTGTGTCTCGCTAAGGGGAAAGTGGAGCTCTCAGAAGCAGATAATGAACACAGTGCCTAAAAATTAACCCAGAGAGATGTATTTTCTGGTATCGTCCCAACAGCACTTCTCAAAACATCTAAGAAACACTTGAAAATCACATTCGCTCTCAAAAGACGCCTACCTCCAGTCCATAGGAGCAAGCTGGAAATCCTACCCCGAGGGGCCAAAGTCCTTTGGGAGTCCATGGACTCCCCAGAACTCCTGACCAGGTTTGGGGTGCAGGATGTCCCCTTTCAGGGGCAGGGAGTCCACGCACTCCTGAGTCTCTGAATTTGCTCCCTCCAGAAACCAGCAGGCTGTTCCCAAGACCCTGCCGGGCTCTCTCATCCTCTGAGCCCATCCGAGGTGGCAGAGGGGCGTCAGCAACTTACCCAGCGAGAGAAGCCCCTGCCACACGTGGGGCACTCATAGACAGAGGGGGTGAAATCCGCATCGTGGTATTTCTTGAAATGCGCGTCCAGAAGCGGCTTCTGGCGGAAGTGCTTGTGGCAGGTGGAGCAGGTGAAGGGCTTCTCTCCGGTGTGGGTGCGGACGTGGACCACGAGGTGCCGCTCCTGCGGGGACAGAGAGGGGAACGGCTCGGCTGGCAAAGGACGCGTCTTAGGGTGACACGTTATTCATTGCACGGTACTTTTTCCCTAACCGAAGACGCGTGCGCTAGGAAGCCAAAGCACTGCAGACGTACCCCCAAAGGGCACCGTAAATCTCCCCCGAGTGGCGGGGCAGGCTGGCACCTGGCGCTGCAGGCGGTTACGCAGCTCTTGTAATTAATTGGCTGCTGGCTCCCTCGTTCCTGGGGGGAACGTACTGGGGGCGACAGGATGTCACCAGCGTCTTAGTTACAATCACTTGCAATTCCCTGCGCTCTCGAAGGGCTGCCAGATGCTGCCCACTTAAAGATCTACGGTGCGGAATTTAACTTCACCGGACAGGGAGTCAGTGTTTTCCCGCGAGCCTTCTCGCCTCGAATACCCGAGCTTACGAGCGTGTCCGGGAAATAACGGTGAAGATCATTTTTCTTAGCAAAGAAACCACCAAAGATTTTAAAAGTCAGACTTAAATAACTTGGAAAATCAGGGCAACCAGAGGTATAAAATCACCCAAGCACACACTTCGGTGTTTTATTTCAAATGCTGTGACCGGGCTAAGGAAACGCACCGTCACTTCTGCATGACCACCAGCAACCTGATTGATGGTCTCCTCCAACTTCCCCTCCGGCTCCGGAACACGCCCTCGCCCTCTGACACACGTCCACTCCCCTCCGCTGTCCCCACTGGGAGGGCCGGGCGCTGCCTGCCCTCTGTCCCCTCGGGAGAGCCCTCTCCTCTCCGGGTCTTTCTCCGTTCTGGGAAGCTCTGGTGGTTCCACCCGTCCGGCCGGGGCTTCATTCTGATGCTCTGAATCTACCCAGAGACTCCTCACCCACATTGCTGTCCGCAGCCTCCTCTGTGAGACACAGCACGCTGCGGTGCCCACCTCTGGGGACCCGGGACGAAGGAATCACCCGGCACAGAGCGTTTCAGGGCCCCGGGGACCCCGCCCTCACCTCCGGAGAGCGCCTGCCTACGTGGCGACCTGTGTTTGTACTGAATGTGTTAAGCGATTCCAACTGAGAAAGCTAAAACTATTTTTAAAGTTAAAAAATGTATCAATACATCGAAAAATAAGCCAAATGACATGTTAACAGACTTCTGAAAGATGTATGATCTGTTTCAAAACAAACAACAAATCACGAGATTCTGGATGGAATCCTGTCTCTGCTTCTGCCCTCCTTCTGCTGGGGGATACTGAAGTGTCCGAGGAAGATCACGGACAGACATGCCCTTTAAAATCACACAGACTTCAACAGTCTTCTCCCCAGATAGTTATGGTCACTGTTCTTTATATGACACCGAACCACAGGTGTAATTTCTTAAAATTTAGTTGCACTATGGAATCTGAAACTAGGTCATTCGACTTTTTCATTCTATTACGTGGAAATGCATTCGTCTGTCTTGTACTTTGGGTGGATTTTTGCTCAGGCACGATTCTGTAGCATTGTGGACTGGTGGTGTGGACAGCATGTACCCTGGGCTATGGAGATTCTGCAGATGTGGACACACTTCATCTTACCATATTAAAAACCCCAGTCTCATCAGAAATGTCATTAAGGGTCACAGAGCTCTAAGGCTCAGAGTGGCAGGCACAAATTTTCCCAAAGTCTGATTTTTCCCTTGAGAGACACCAGTCTGTCACTAGTAACACGTTTCCCATGGGGCAGGGTTCATTGCTCCCTGTCATGAAAGCACCTGCCAGATGCCCCTGAAGGGTGTGGGCAGGGCTGCTCTGTCCCCTGCTTTGTGTGGAGAGGATGGCGGGGTGGGGGACTTTTCCTCCTGATAGCCTGTGGGCCCTGGGGAGGGGGTTCCGGGGTGTACACAGGATGTACATGATCCAGTCGCCCCCTCCAAAGCCTCACCCATGAGCACAGGAGGCTTTGGGGGGACATCTAAGCACACACCGTAACACCTGTGCCCACCCTGCCCTTCCTCTCCCCTCCCGAGCCCCAGCTCTCAGCCCCCGGAGCGGCCAGGGCACGCACCTGCTTGCAGGCGTAGCTGCAGTGCGGGCACTTGAACCGCTTCTCGTTCTTGTGGGTCTTCTGGTGCTGCACGAGGGTGTAGCGCTCGTGGAAGGTGGCCGGGCAGTAGCGGCACTGCATCTCCGTGGCGCGGTAGGTGTGCAGGTTGCGCACGTGCACACCTGAGAAGGAGCAGAGTCTCAAGATCACGGTCCTCCCCAGTAAGAGGAAAGGGGCAGGCAACCCATCGGGGCCACGACGGAGGCGTGGAGGCGCGTGTGACGCACTGCGTTCCTCTGCGGGGGCCTCACGGGTCTCACAGCCTCTCAAGGCGGCTGGCTTGTGACCTGTGTGCCTCCACACGTCCCTTTGGGCAGTGTTCTGTGGTCTGCTGGTAACCGTGACAACACGGACAGAGAGAAACTGTTTTCAAACGCCTTTACCCTTTCAGACATAATTGGGAAATGATTCGTCACATCTCTGGACCTTCTAGGGCCAACTGGGGAGTTTTTACCTCTGTTAGTGTAGTTTAAGTACCTCATCACACATTTCCGGAAAGAATTAAAAAACAAAACAAAAAAAGACTACCAGAAAGAGGGACCTAGGGGTCCAGAAACAAATCCGTGAGGTCCCTGGTGCCCTCCTCTCCTCTCCACACAGGAGTGAGTCCTCTCCTGTCCCCTTCTTCAGTGGGACCAGGTCTCAGTGCCCACTTGGCCTCTCAGCCCCCAGCAGGGTGCAAGATATGCTAGCCAGGATGCCAGTGCCTGGGAGCAGGGGACATCAATAAAGGGGGAGCACAAGACCCAGCGGCCTCCTAGCACCCAATTGCGCACCTCTCAGGCAAGTCACTAGGTTTCTAACCACTCCCCGCCTCCCACACATACCTGTAAGAACAGGCCCCAGGTGCGCTAAGGTAACCTCCTGAAAGCGGTAGGGTTAGAGACCTCAGACCAGGTCAGAACGGCTGGGAGGCTGCACTTATACATGACGGCCACCAGATGGCGCCCCAGGACCGCTGCAAGAAAACTCGTCTCCCAACCGACAGGGACCTGAGAGCAGCCTCGCCACTGTGCCCAGCAGGACCAACATGGAAAGAAGCCAGGCGGAGACTGACACTCACGCAGGTCGCTCTTCCTCGCGATGACGGCGGCACAGTGGGGACACTCGTACTTGGGCACGTTCTCGCTGTGCTTCTGGAGGATGTGTATCTTCATGGTCCCGCGCTGGGTGAAGCGGGCGTGGCAGACCTGGCACTCATATGGCTTCTCCCCTGCACACGAAGGACAGAATGACCCTCTGGAGCTTGGCTCCCTGCTCAAGCCCTGATGCCTGGAGCTGGGGGCTTTGCCCTAGCCCACCCCGTTCTCACAGGCTTAGGGCCCCAATTCGAAAGGAGCACCCGAGTCTGGCCGGACAGCAGACGCCCTGCGTGGCTGGGTGCAGTGACCCAGACATGCAGCTTCCCCACTCCTGGTGTTCCCTGGTTCTGGCCGTGCACCCCTCTTAGCCCTGGGATCCGGGAGGCTTGGAGATGTGCGTATGCATAGGAGTTCTCTTTACACAACTGCTGCACACCTGTTACGGAATCGGCACCAGGCCACGTGCTCAGCTTTAAAGCTGAGGGGTGAATTAAGAAGTGGACTTCTCAATGTCGAGACCCCTGGGGAGCTAAAACTTTACAGTGACGGCCCCACCTGCCACAGCGGGCACGGCATGGTAGTTACACCTTCCTGAGTGCCCATAAAGAAAAAGTACAGAGCCAAGGCTGCGTGTGAAAAGGCACAGGGGCACTTGACACTGGACTTCACTTCTGCCACCGAAGAAGAGCGACCTTCATGAAAGCTTCAGGATCCTTCCAAAAGCCCAGCATCCTCCCTGGCCTCCTCTGGGCGATAGCACTCACCTGAGTGGGTGCGCATGTGACGCTTGAGTTTGTAGGTGTCCTTGCTGGCGTAGCTGCAGAGCAGGCACTGGAAGGGCCGCTCGCCCGTGTGCGAGCGGACGTGGCGCTTCAGCTTGCTGGCCTGGGACGGACAGAGGGCACAGTTACCCCACAGGAACCTCAGAGCGGGACGGGGGTGGGGGCTTCGGTAGTCAGCTCTGCAGGAGAGACTTAAGTTAATCAGGCTTTAACATCGCATGCACGCAGCCCTGGCTGAAAACCATGCAAACACAGTTACTCTTTATATCCTGGGCTGGGTGATCTTTTATCCATTCGACGTGCACACACTCTTCTGGGGAGCGTGAGTGCAGTTTGAAGAGTTTCTGACACTCAGCCTGGCTTCAGAGAGGAAAGACTGCAACCTCGTTGGCCAAGGCCACCGTGCGGTTTCATATTTATGTCCAAGGCCACCTATGCTGTGTGAGGACAGTTTTCACATCGAGCGAAAGCCTCGAGCCGGGAAGCGTGAAGTGCACTTCACCATCACAAGCCCCGAGGACCTCGAGCTGCAAGGACAAGTGGGCGGCACAGGCTGTCCTTGCTCTGAGCTTGGACACCATGTCAGAAGTTTTAGAAAAGTTAAGCTTTAAGCAGAAAAAAATCATTCTAATTTGACCAATTGTGTATTGTAGGCAATTAGTTAAATAGCAAACGCCTTCTGCAAACAGGCCGTATCTGCTCGCCCTGAGCCCCATCTGTGGGAGGCAGGAAGCACAGGCCGCTGCCCTGGAGCTGCAGGTGGCTCTGCTGTGATCTCGGGAAGGCCACGCTCGCTTGCGCTGCTTCCCCGGGATCACACAGCAGGCACGCACGCACTGAAAGGACACTCAGGACCGGACCCTCAGAATGGAGGGCGGATTTTTAGAGAAAAGGCGGACGTCTTTGAGGTTTTAGGCATGAAAGCAACAAGCCTTTTCAGACAGCATAAAAGGTCTGAGTAGGACAGGTGGCCTGATTGGTCATGGAAGCCTGCAGAGTGTCTCTGGACTGGGGACAAGGAGCTCCCCGCACTCAGATTCCTGGTGAGGTCTGGCACCAGGAAGGCAGGTTTGGCACGCCCTGTGTTAGTGCAGACCAGCACGTGCAAACCGGAAGTTGTGCCAATGTGGGGAGATGGCAATGGGAGGGGACCTGGGGCCAGCACACCAACCTGGACAGCACCCGGCCACGACAGGCCCTCGGCGAGCCGGCAAGCAGATCCTCAGAGCAGGCCGGCTGCCTGCAAGAGGTCTGCTCCTGGCTCAGGGTCCGGGGACACCTCTGTGTTCTAACACTGCCATCTTGTGTCCTGGTACTAGCAAAACAACCTTTAACTCAGAGGAGAGACAGACTTTTTTTGCGCGGGGGATTGAACTCACGACCACGCACTTGCAAGGCAGGCGCTTATGCCACTGAGCTGAATCCCCAGCCTGAAACAAACTTTTCAATATAGCAATCATAGGGGGAAAGTGTCCTCAGAATCACACTGTGACTCTGTCTGTGAAACTCTCTACTTTATCAATGTGGCTGTGGCATGGCATTGCTATATTTAAACCTCAGTTGCTGTGCCCTTTAACTCAATCCCACTGGAGGGCAGCGGTTACACCCAGGACCCGGCTGCCCTCCCGACACCGAGCAGAACCCCTCCAACCGAGCCAGCATCGGACAGTGAACACCAGGTGCTGCCTTTGGCACGTGCAGGGCTCTGCTAAACCTGCTGGACGGCACACAGCGGGCAACTGAGCAGGAAAGGCCCTGGCACGGGACCGAAGTGTGCACAGAACGACCTCTCTGCAGTTAAGGGTAGAAAGGGGGGCGAGGGCTGAGGCACAGTGCCTAGCAGGGTGACTGTTCGATCCCCAGCACTGAACGAAGAACAGCAGCCAGAGATGGCTACCGGGACGCTTTGCGTCTGACCAAGGCCACTGAGACAGGCTCAAAACTCCTGGGTGATCTGTGTCCGAGATCCCTTTTGATTTTGTTGCACTGAGTATGACATAAAATACTACAGGGACTAGTGTCTACACGTCCATCCAAAGCCTCGTGTGGCCAGAGGTGGGGTTCGCTCAGAGGTGGCTGGACCTAGAGCGTGTGACCGATTCCAGTGCCATGGGAATAGGGCTGGACGGGCACTGCCCTCCTCCCGGTGCCCTGAGCACGGTCTTAGGGGCAGGAGGCGGCTTGTCCTTCCCTTGCTTGCCTGCTCTTGCTGCCTCTGCCCACCGTGGACTGTCTCTCCTCTGCAGGGTCCCTATGCCACCCCACCCTGCCTTGGCGCCAACCAATTATGGACTGAAACCTCTACAAACTGTGAGATAAATAAACCTTTGCTCCCTTCACTTGTGGGTGGTGAGCATTTTGTCTCAGAAAGTGCCTAAGGCACAGATCTCAACAAATCCTAGAATTACCTCTTGACCATAAGTAATTTTATTTATAACTCACACACCTTTAAATATTATTTTCACTAATTAGTCATCGAAGGAAAAAGAGGAAACTGCTTTTCTATTTGAAATTTGGAAGCAAACCCTGCTTGTGTGTGCCCTGCTGGCAGCGTAACTCCCAGAGTAACGTCTTACACCACTGCCAGGACCCCCGGGGTTCGGCTCACTTACTTCCACACTTGCGTACGTGCACATGGAGCATTTAAATGGCTTCTCGTGAGTGTGTTTGTAACGCCTGTGCCGGACGAGTTCTCCACTGGTGACAAATGCCATATCACAGTCCACACACTTGTAAGGCCTGGTTCCTATAAAGTCACCATACAAATACACAGTTTTGGTGGTGCTGGAGAGAAATCCCAGGGCCTCACTGGTTAAGTGCTGGTTAAGTTCTGGTTAAGTTCTATACCATTCACCTACACACCCAGCCTGATTTAAACTTCTAAGACAAGACTGAACCATTTCCAAGGGTTTTATATCTTTTAATTTACACTCAGTCTCCAAATGCTTTAAAATTCCAAAGCTCATTATGCTGTAAGTACTATGAACATCTATGAGAGAAATGTTGGGGACATTCAATGCTTTTAATTGAAATTCTAGAAATAAAAGAAAAAATTAAAAGTATAAAACAACCCACCCCCCTTCCAGCTGGAGGATCAGAGCAAGGAGCACGTGAGAGGCTTGCTTTTCCCTGTATCTGTGGCCTGTGCTAAGGTTTAATTTACAAATTAGAGAGTAACAACAACTGACAATTGCGATTGATCAGAATGACAAAAATTAAGAGATTAACAGCAACTAAAAATGAAACAGCACAGTACTAACAAAGTGCTGTCCTAGAAGCTGATTAAAGCCTCAAGAGCTGTTCATCTCCAGAATCCCCCGTGCAACCCTTCCTGACCGCGGAGAAACACAGGCGACCCAAGTCACAAAAGCCGCCCTGCAGATGAGAAGCAGGTGGATTCGTCTTCTCCCGTGGGGTGCCCTGCCCCGCACCCCGGGGCCACCCCGCGGGCCCTCACCTGTGTGGGTGTTGATGTGGTTCCGGAGGAGCGTGACGGTGCGGAACGTCTTCAGGCAGATGTGGCACATGTGGGGCTTCTCGCTGCTGTGGATCCTCATGTGGCGGTTAAAGCTGGAGACTCTAGAAGCCGTGAACGTGCAGACGCTGCAGCGGAAGGTCGGCTTCGCTCCTGCGGGAAGAGGACGCAGAATCCGCACGAGTAAAAGACTCACCCTGTTTCAGCATGTAGAGTAACTCTTGGGGCACCAGGAGGTGTGAACCCTCATGGTGCTCTGGAGTGAGCCAGGGTGCTCGGCTCCCCCTTTCTGCGGGGAGAAAGCACCCTCCACCTCCGGGCCTGAGAGGCAAACCACCAGCCAGAGCGGTGCTCCCCAAAGCCAGGGCCAGGCCCGGATGGGGCTCCGCGCCGCAGCAGGGCTCAGCACCCTCAATATTGTCTGTTCGATTTCCGCCTCTTGGGGAAAAAAGTCATTGACAGCCATGTGAGACTAAAAAATTTGGGTTGGAAATAATGAACATTTTTTCTAAAGTATTAAAAATACAGTTTCTTTGTTGGAAGCCACGGTTGCACTCCCCGAAAGCCACATCTGGCTGGGAGTCACTGTCCGGGCCACTGTGAAGGGCGAACATTTCCTCATGGGACAGTGCCAGGCCAGCAAGTGCAGAGGGAACAGCATGCACCTTACAGCAATGACCGCGAGGAGGGAATGTGGCCTCCGTGCACGTGTCCTAGTGAAATCCACGGGGCTCCGGTCACTGACCACAGAAATTAAATTCTCCACCCTCACAGAACTCAGCTTCATTCCAGACTTCAAAGCATCTGCACGGATACCATTCAAAATGAGCTCAGAGCGAATAAGCAAGATGTTAAGGCAAAAGCCAGGAAAAAAAACAACAACAACAACAACAAAGGACTCACAACCACAAACTTCAAATGTCAGAATTATTAAAGGCAGCATACAGCTGTGAAGTTAGTTAAAATAGTACAGGGAGAAACTCTAAAAATCCGTCCCTCCATAAGAGCAACGAAGAAAACGGGAAAAACTGCCAGCGTCAGTTTTAGGGGGACACTGGAGACTCATCAAATGCTTGCAGGAACCCGAGGAGCACTTAAAAATATCTGGCTACTTCTCAGGGAACAGAGAGCTTTGTGGAGTTTTAATGTATTTTGGCCCCATTCCCCATTTCCAGCTCAGTGGTATCCTTAAAAGTAACGGTTCAAAGGCACAGTACCAGTACCAGAGAGAACGGAGTGAAACTCATGCACAAAAATTGCAATTGTGTTTTGTGACCCGAGCGCTGATTCACTGCAAGGCCTTGCTCTCACCCAGTGCAAATGAGGCTGCTTGGGATGAAGGGGGCAGTTTTTAAGGAAAACATTTCTAGGCAATGGCTACCAAGGGAAACAGATCACAGAAGGCTTTGAAGGAAAGGCTGAGCAGCAGGGTGCGTGCTTCAGAGAGCTCCAGCACGCCCCAGGAATACAGAAGGAATACAGGGCTTAAGAACTGAACAGGAAGTGTTAATGCTCAGGTCCTGCTGACTTCATGGCTCTCAGGAAGCAGGAAGGGAGGGCTAAGGCAGAGCTGTCCACTGCCTGGGCAGCACTGGGGAGGTCAGGCCCAGCAAGCACACAGAGCTCCTCAGCCGGCACCAAGGACGCTGTTTCGGTTTGGGGTGCCGACGAGTATCTCTGTCCAGTCACCAGGAGGGATTTCAGTGGCCACACAAAGCAAAGGAAACAGATTTTACACAGCTAGTTCAGAAGGTTACCACCCAAACACCAAACCCAACAAGCAGCAACAACCAAGCGAAGGGAGAAGAAAAATCTGATTTACAGAGTGGCCCTAGTACAGGGCTCCAAGTGTGCGGTTTTCAGTCCACGTTGAAAGGCATTCCCAGAAACAAGAAAATATGGCGACCCCTACACTGAAGAAAATTCAAAGAAATCGTACCCAAAAAGTTCAGGAGTTTTAAATTTCAAGTACCAAATGCCCAAGTAAACTGTATGTCGAGAGCCATGAAAACGATGCTTTACCACTTAAAAGTGGAAATTGTGGAGTGAAAAGGTACAGTGACTGAAATTCACTAACAGGGCTCAGTGGAGGGCTGTTGGAAAGTCAGTCAATTTGAAGACAGATCAACGAAGATTATGTGGTTACAGAATGCAAAGAAAAAATAATAAAGGAAAACAGGCACAGTCTAAGACACCTGTCCAGCATCACCAAGCGATGCCACGAGAGTGCCAGAGGGGAGTGTGGGGAGCAAATCTACCATCGGCAGACCTCGGCATGCAAAACGCTAGAGACTCACACAGGTTAAAGCGAGGGGACTCCGGTTAGTAACCCGAACCCACGTGAAAAAATAAAGAATGATAAAGGTAACTGCAGGAGTAAAGGTAAAAGCCAGCATGCACGAATATATCTGTAAGTCGCTTCTTATTTAATTTAAAAATATACTTTACATCGTAAAGTAATACTTATACATTTATGCCGAAGGGGACACAGTGTATAAGGATTACTCTGACAGAAACACCAGAAAGGCAGTAAGGAGTGAAATTACACAGCAGCCAAAAAATTTAAATACATTATTCAAAGTAAATTTGCACTAATCTAAATTAGTGTGTTATACACCGAGATGTTAGTTACGATTCCGAGGGCAACCAAATATATAACTCAAAAGCACATATTAAAATGAACAGCACACTACAGAAAAGTCACTCAACATGAAGTAAAGAACTAATGGAAAAACTAAAGAATAAAAATGGCATGGCTCTTAATAAAACAGAAAAGCAGGGAATCTTTCTTTACCAGAAATAGATTAAGCTCTCCAATTAAAAGGCAGAGATTTTCAGAAAAGACAAAAAAAAAAAAAAAACAAAAACAAAAACCCATGATCCATCTTTTGCCTTCTCCACGATCCATTTTAAATTCCCAGACACAAGTGGGAGGAACCTAAGTAGATATAAACAGTAATTAAAAAAGGTTTCAAAGTGGTACCTCAGCCGTGATCGTCACTATTTCTACAATTCTGGTTGCAAATCAAACTGGATGAGGATTGAATCAAATCTCCCTAGTTCTTGTCCAATTTTTTTTGAGACCGGAATCGTGGATGAGCGAGGTTTGTGAACTGAGGCATTCTGTCCTAGTATCAGACAATGCAGTCAGTCTTCAAGACACAGACTGATGCAAGGGACAGAAAGCATATTGTGTGTTTGATCTGTCATAGCTAAAACAATCATAAACATGTATGCCCTTAATAACAGAGCTCCAAAATACATAAAGCAAAAACTGACACAATTGAAGACGGAAAAAGGTAAGTCAGTGATAGGCTGGAGACTTTGATATTGCACTTTAAACATTTCAGAAGACCAGCACAAGATCAAGAAGGAAACAGAAAACGTCACCATCATACAAGCCAAGCAGATATGACAAATATCTACAGAACACACAACGACCATTCTTCACAGGTGCATTCTCTGGGACAGAACATGTGTTAGGCCACAAAACAAGTCTCAAAACATAAAAAATACTAGAAATCACAGGCAGTCTCTTCTCCGATCATAACAGAATGAAATTAGAAATCAGTATCAAAGCAAACTTGGAAAACACGTGGAAGTTGAGCACACACTCTCAGATGAAAAAAATCACAAGAAAACTACAAAATAATCAAAGAGGAATGGAAAAGAAAACATGGAACAAGAACAGTTATGTAATGACCTAAAGCAGTATGCAGAGGGCCTTTTCAGCTGTAAACACCTAAGTTAAAAAGTAACATTTGGACGGGAGATTTAGCTCAGCGGCATAAGCACCAGCCTGGCAAGCACAATGTCATGAGTTTGATCCTGGTACCAAAAAAAAAAAAGTAACATGTAGGATTAATAATCTAATTTTACACTTTAGTGACACAGAAAGGGAAAATAAAATTAAACCTAAAACTGGTAGAAGGAAAGAATAAAGATTGGGATGGAGATAGAGAATAGAATAAACAGAAACAAAAAGTCCTAATTTGATTTGACTGAGGTTCTTACAAAAATGCAACTGCACTGCTGCGTGGCATCTCTAAGGCATGGCGGCACAGCTCACCTCCCGTTCAAGCCCAGAAATCAAAATTCTTGACTCTGGACACACGTGAAAGAGAGGGTGTGGGACGGCACTGCCCCTCTTAAATGGAGTCGCCTCCCGACCCAGGCCACCCTTCACCGTAAGGGCATCATGCACCTGTTGCCAGACAGGACTTTTAAACAATGCGCCCAAAATTGAGATAAGGGAGGTACAATTTCTAAGTAAGTGAGAAACAACTTTTTTCGTTTGTGTTTTGATATAGGGCCTCGCTGTGTAGTTTTTAAACTGGACTTGAACTCACTCTGTAATCTAGGTTGACCTGAACTCACCCATCCTCCTGCCTCGGCCTCCTAAGCCATGGCATTCCAGGTGTGTGTCGCCTGGCCTGTTCCTCTGTGCAGTGGGACTCATCCCCCCTGCTACAATCACTGTCCCTTCCCAAATGCTACCCTGGGAAGAAATCCCGGACGACCGAGACCAGACTCCGCTTGCTGTTCATGTATGTGCAGAGCACCTCGTGGTACATTGCGATGAGATTAAAAAAAAAAAAATTGTGTGCAGAATGCAAAATCCCTCTGCATGCGATTCACCACACAGAGAAGCAGTTAATTTTTTTTCCATTTCCTGACTTTCTGAAAGCAACTAGAAATTTCAATTAGCACCGCCTGCCCACGGAGAGAAACAGCAGCCCCTGCGTTTTGCAAACTCTCGGGTCATGTGGCCTGGCCTACCCTTTGCTTTTCTTGGACTTTTTGTGGAGCTGGTTGTTTCCCTATTTGCTTGACCTACTGCAGGTTTTTCTTCCTGTTCTTCCTCGTTTAAGGTGCAAACGGCCAGAACAATTCCATCACTTCCTTCATCTCCGGGCCTCACCGCCAGGAGCAAAAACTGCTCCCCGGCTCTCTGAGCTCCGCCTCCTTCAGCCGCCGCTGGCTGGTCCTCCTCCGGAACTTTCTCAATCTGAAAAGCAAAAACATTCAAGCAGACACAACAGTGTTAATTACCATGCGATTAAGCTCTTTGCCTTGAACCTTCCAATGCATAAATAAAAGCTAAAATTAAAGATCTTGCATTGCAATCAAAATGCTTAAGGCATAATTATTTAGGGTTTTGATGATGAAACTTTTTAAATAAACATGATGCACTTTAGAGTATTCATGTTCCCATAGCTTTTAAAACTGTTTTAAAAAATAACATCTCAGGGTTTTCCTGGGAAGTTTTCTTTTTCCAGTGTTTAATTTTAAACTGCAAAACTGCTTTTCCAAATATATTGCACAAAGGCAGAATTTTAAAACTTTTATTTCGTGCCTGCGTGTGTATGCGCGCGTGTGTAACAGCAGCACCTTTGTCAATCCTGAGTTTTCAGAAAGGTTTGGCGCTGGCTCAGGGTCTCCCCTGACCACCGCCTGGCTCTCCTCCAGCACGCGGACCTTCATCACCTCCAGCTCCTGCAGCGGAGACAGCTCCTCCTGGAGACCTAGGGCCACGCACGGCTGCAAGCTCTGCTGGGGCTCCTCGCCCAGCCACAACAGCGGGAGCACACCCTCGGCCACCTGCAGCTCCTGCACGTGCTCTGTGTCCAGCCAGCCTGTGCTCAGCAGCCCCGGGTCTCCGGAGGGCGAGGGCACGGCTCGCAGGGACAGAATGTGCTTGTCATCCTCCGCCGGGGTCGCTACCAGCTCCAGCCTCCCTTCCAACAGCAGGGCCTGCAGCAGCTCATGGTTGCCTGTGGGCTCAGGCTCCCCGGCGCTCTGCAGGGCCTGTACTCTCGGGACTCTGTCTACCTCCTCCAGCTCTTTCTCCAGGGTCACACTCAGCTCTTTGATGCTGGTGAACTGCTCAGAGGGGTCAGAGAGCTCGGGGGCCGCCATGGTGATGTAGCCTGGAGAGAGAACCATGCAGCCTTGCAGGGCTCTGTGGGGCAGGGGGCTGCTGGGCTTCAGGGGCCACCCATGTTTGGACAAGTTTCTGGCCTCGAAAGTTTCCGGGCCCTAAAAGGTCAGACTCTGAGGCCCCCGGTCCGAGCTCTGCAGACTGAGGCTGCAGCAACCCACTCCCCAAGATTCTAGAAGGCACAGGTTTGGCCCACGCAGCGCTGGGTAGGCCCTGTGCACGCTGCACGCTAGCAGAGCTGAACCTGGTTACTTTTGGAGCCCACGGCCTGGAAGGGTTCTACAGTACACGAGTCCAGACCTAGCACTGTGAGAGCAGGTGCACTCGGGCCTGGGGGCCGGCAGCACACCCAGATGCCGCCCTGCGGAGGCCTCACGCGGACCTGCTGAGGCCCCCCGCGCGCTTTTGCACTGTTGCTGCCTCCCCGTACCTCGGCTGCTCCCCTCTCTGCCTACGCGCAGGAATACCCTGAGCAGGTGGGGAAACACAGAGTCCACCTCCCAGGGCTCCTTCACTGTGGGAGGCGAGGCCTGACTCCCACCTGACTCCCACCCCCGCGTCCCCTGTGGCCTCCGCCTCCGCACCTCGTGCTGCAGTCGCTGCGGCTGCTGCTGCCTCTGCAAGGGTGAGCACAGTGCGCAGGCGCAGGGCGAGAAAAAGGGCGGGGCTGGGAGATGAGGCGGGAAAGTGGGGGCGGGGGGAGGGACGAGAGTGGGGGTGGGGCACAAGAGTGGGAGTTGGGGACGGGGAGAGGGAGGGGGAGGACAGTGGAAGTGGGAGTGAGGAAGAGTAGGGGGAGGTGGAAGGGAAGTCCTAGAGGGGTTTTGGAGGGGAAACAGAGTCCTGGGGGGATGTTGAGCTCAGAAGAGGAGAGGCCCTGCAGGGGGCGCTGAGAATCTTGGGGCAGGCGACAGGGAGGGGAGTAGAGGGGCCCTGCAGGGGGCGCTCAGAATCCTGGGGCCGTGACTGACAGGCAGGGGAGCAGAGGAGCCCTGCAGGGGGCGCTGAGTCTCGGGGTCCATATAAGCAGGGAGGGGAGGGGCCTGTAGGAGGCGCTGAATCCCTGGGGAGTAACTTGGGGGGGGGGCCGGGGGAGTGGGGGGAGTGCAGGGATCCAGTAGGGGCCTCGGGGAGACAGCGCTCCTGAAGGACCAGAGGTGGGCGTGGGGGGCGGCTAGGGGATCTTCGAGGCAGGCGGCGCGCTGGGATGGGGCAGGGAGGACCACTGCGGGAGGCCAGAGCTCTGAGCAGAGCTGGCCGGCGGTGTGTGAATGCGGGTGCAGGGGTGAGGTGTGGGATGGTGAGCCCATGGGGACTTACAGGGTGCAGGTGGGAAACGGAAGTGCATGGGAGCTGGGGGAGGGGTCCTTAGGGGAGCACATAGATTGGTGTGGGGGTGATGGGGGCCGGGGTGCTGGAGTCCCTGAGGAGGGGAGCAGGACCCAGGAGGCCTGAGGCAGGGCCAGGGCAGGGCCGAACCTCCTGCAAGTCTCTCTGACACTTTGAACTCTGGGAAACTCTTTCCAGAAACCTCCTATTGATTGATTGATTGGTTGATTGATTGCACCGAGAATCAAACTCATGGCCTCGCACTTGCAGGCGCTGTGGCACTGAGCTATGTCCCTGGCCAGAAACCTCTGTTAGGCAGCGGGTGGTCATGTGCAGGAGGGAGAAGGAGGGGCCTCAGGGAATAGGAGGGGAACTGGGGGGGGGGCGTTCATCCAGTGGAGGGCGTGGTCAGCTTGCTCAAAGCCCAGGCTGAAAAATAGTGCATTTTTTGTATACTTCAGTAAAGAGAAATTAATCATTTTGGTGGTTTCCAGAAAAAAATCTCCAACTAGATAACTAGATTTTAAATATATATATATATATATATATATATATATATATATAAAGTTTGGATCCATCCAGTGAATAATATTATTCCCAGTTCACTGAGGTTTTTGAAAGTATGGCTTATAACATTCTAGACTGGCACCATTTCAAACATGCAATGGAACTTTTGTTAGACCTACGTGAATGCTGGGTGAAAAACAATTCAAAAGGAAAGAGCAGAGTTTTGGGGAAGAAGCTTCTAGAATGCCCTAGCAACAAGTGACCTCCATTAAGAAATGGCCTCTTGACCTTTCTTTAGCAAAGGGTATGTTCCAACAACCAGGGACAGATGAAGAGGGCCATGAACCCGCAGGCCTGTGCCCTCTGTGCCAAGGTCTGAACTCTCGTGCTGAGGCCGGGCTCTCCTCGCTCCGCCCGGTGTGCCGTTGCTTCTGTGTCTCCTCCCATGCCATGTCCCCGTCCAGGCCCCTCTGCAGGACCTCCCCAGTGACTTCAGTGGCAGAATGGAAGTGATAAATGCAAAACCCTTTTGGAACAAAATGTTATATAGGGCAGTGGTAAATGCAACAGGCTGGTGAGATGTCTTTAAAAAATATTCCTCTCCCGCTCCCTGCTTCCAGAGTAAATGTCAAGAGGCTTAGCACTTAATTCTCCCCCGGCTGCCTACCTGGAGTGTAAAATCTTTACAGGGCACTCGGTAAGCACTTAAGTCCTTGAGATCATCTCCCAAATGAAAAAGGAAACCAATAATGAAATAATGAGCAAAGGCTGGAATTATCATAAATATGAGCAGCAAGGGGACTCTGGGCCCGGCGTGGAAAGCACCTGAGATTAGTAACCTTCTCAGATCTTCCAGAAAGTTCTACAGGGGGAGATGGGCAGGCTGGGGAAGTTGTTCAGGTGGAGAGAGCTAGAATTCAGAACATCCTCGTCTTAAATGCTGGATACCCTTGTGACATGCATTTTGTTTAATACCCACATATTTGTATGTGTTTGTATTTTAATGTATAATTGTACTGTATCATGATAAAATGTGGAAATAAATCACAGATGACATGCATATGGATCTTTCTCGCTGGCACGTGTGCCATGTGGGGTAAGAAGGCTGTCCACGATCAGGGACCTTTGTTGGTGCTGTGACGTTCTCCAGAGGCCCTGCTGTCCACGGCTGGGCAGGGCCTTTGCAGCTGTGTGTGGGACGCTGGGTGTAGGGGTTCACAGGCCCTCAGCCACTCCCATTTCCTGCTTCCCTCCTGTGACTGAAGAGTGCCTCTGATTTTGTAGAGACGCCCGTGTGAGGTTTGGTGCTTGTCACCCTGGGGGGTTTGTGGTGGCCGTGCAAGGCCGGCTCCTTCCTCTGATTTCCGTCGTGGGCGGTGCTGGTGGCCCGGTTTAGAACACGCCTGTCCTCAGCCTGCTGAGCAAACACCGCTTTCCTGCGGATCATTACTCTTTGAACTTTTCGGTGAACGAGGAGAGACTGCTCTGAGGTTCAGCCAGCAACACTGCCTTGTTCTTGGCCTTGGCCAGCGGGTTGAGGGGTGTGGGACAAAGGAGACGAAGAGGGTTCTGAAAACTGGGAAATTTAGGTGGGGAAGACACAGATCACAAGAAAGTTAATGAAGGGCGTCACCGGGCACCCTGGGCCTCCCCAGAACTTTGTCAGCGTGACCTTTACTTGTCCTGATTACATAAGAAACAAGCATTTGTGAACAAATAAACAATGGAGTCTGGAAAGAAGTTTCAGGAAAAGTCCGGAAGGGTGGCTTAGAGCTGTGCTTAGTGATTTGGACGGTGAGCTGCGCAAGGGCCAAGGAGGCTTTTCCTCATTTCTCTATTTTCCAGAGCAGCCAGAAGTGGTGTTGCGGGCAGGAGAAGAGTCCCGAGCTGGGAGATTATCCTGAACTCTCCAGGGAGCCCGATGTCATCAGAACACCTGTCAGAGGGACACGGGAGGGTCCGAATCAGAAGGAGATGTGACCAAGGGAGCAGAGAGCCGGAGGTGAGAAGATCGTGAGTTTCTGCCTTTGAAGATGGAGTAAGAGACCAAAATCAAGGAGAAGAGGAGCCAGAAAGGGTGAAGAAAGCGATTCTGCTCCACCCTGCAGGAGGGACCATCTCTGCTGGCGCGAGGGACACTTCTGAGCCTCAGAGCCGGAAGAGAGGAAATCCGCGTGGCCTCAAGTTCTGCCTTTGGGGCTTTGCTCTGTCGAGGAGGAAACACACTCACAGCTTGCAGGTGGTGCCTGGCGCCCTGGTTCTCCTCATTCTCGGGGGTGCAGTGGCTCCCTGCTCCCCCACTAGGCTCTCAACAAGAGGCGATGTTCCCAGGGAATAGTCATGACCTTTCATCTCTCTGCACCCTGACACCCCTTTCGGGATCTCACCCCAGCTTGATACTTTTGTGTGTGTGATGGCCCCCTTCAGGACAGCTGTCTTGACTCCAGGTCCTAAGGACCCCTGAGATCTAATATGGAAATGCAACTTGTCCAAAGCAGAATTCTTGATCCCCCGGAATCCTGCCTCATCCTGTCTGCCCATCTTAGTTAATGGAGATCATTCTAGAGACTCCTAGAAAACTCCTTAGAGCTCCTTTCTGTCTCGGAAGTATCCATTCCATCAGCAAATAGATCTACCTCAAAACTCTCTCCAGCATCCCAGCTCCTCTCCTGCTTCTGCCCGTCTGGGCCACCTCCACGTCACACGTCCACTCACAGGCCACACAGCCCAGACAGAGCCCTCACATGTGCTCTCAGGTCCATGGCACTGGGCCCACCTCCTTTCCCCTGGGACTCTACAGCCGGCCACCTTTCCTGCCTGCACCAGCACCTGGCCCCTTTGTGCTCCCCAGATGTGCACGCCAGCTGTGGCCTCAGGGACCTTGATCTTCCCTCTGCATGGCACAGTTTTGTCCCAGAGCAGTGAGCCTCATTCTTGCAAGCCTTGTGAGTCTTTGCTCCCCTCTTGCTTCTCTGAGATCTTCCTAATCCACCCTACTTAAAATCAGATTCCAGTTTTCCTTGTCTGCGCAATTTCTCTCAGAATTTAAAAGTTGTTGGCATCTCTTGCAAAAAGATAGAATGTTCCAGGTCCACTGGCAGTGAATGTGACTCAGACTTGTGTGCCTGACGGCCAGGCTCTT